GCCCCCAGAACCTCACGCCCATCCCGGACCCACCCAGGGGCAGCCAGGCTACCAGGTCAGTAACCCACGTCCGTCAGCACAGACCCTCCCCTAGCCCCGCTGCACGCAGCCACGAGGAAACAGTCACCCGAGAGCCAACAGAGCCCCTAACCGGACATGACTGCTACCCCGGATTGAGCCCCCCAAGGAAGATGCCCCTGGTGAACCCCCCGACGCCCTATCCCTGTCCCTACCCCCACACCAATCACAGTGAAGGCGGGACCAAACTATGACCCCCCACCCCCACTAGGTGATGGAGCTGATCAAAGGAGCCCAGAGCAATTGATCTGGTGTGGTGGCAGAGGCTGTATCAAGACTAATGTAATCTAATAGATAATTTCTATATTGGTTAGAATTAAGATTATTTTTTATTTTTCCAGTTCATGAGGACAGTTTTCTTGGCTATGCATAGGGCAGGGAGAACCATATGGGCTATATTTTTATCTGAAGTGACATTATCTAAGCTGCCCAACAAAAACACTAAGGGGGAGGTTGGAATGTTACATTTCAGACACTTTGATAAATCTTCACATATCTCGCGCCAAAACTTCTGAACTGGTGGACAGAACCAAAGAGCGTGGATATAATTGTCTGGTGAATTGGTTTGGCAGTGTGAGCAGTTGTTGGTAGACGTAAAGCCCAACCTTGAACATCCGATGACCTGTATAGTGCACTCTATGTAATATTTTGTATTGAATTATTTGAAGACTGGGATTTCTGATTAGATGAAAGGTTTTTAAGCAAGTCTGAGACCAGAAGTTTTGGTCTAAGTTAACTGATAAATCCGCTTCCCATTTTGCAATAGGAAGTGATGTTGATTCATCTGTTTTAGAAAGCATTCTGTATATTTTGGATAGTAATTTGGGGGTTTTAAGAGTAAGAAATTGAACCACACTTGGTGGTGTTTGTAGTTCAACTTGACCCGGTTTAAATTTCTTTTTTACTATGGATTTAATTTGTTGATATTCTAAAAATCTTTTCTTGTTGATCCCATATTGTGTAACTAGTCCGTCAAAGGAAATAAATTCTGTTCCTTCTAGTATATGTTCTAAATATTTGATTCCTTTACCACTCCAATCTGAAAAGTTTATCATATTATTGTTTTGTAATATGTCAGGGTTGTTCCAGATAGGTGTACGTTTGCATGGGATTAATGAAGACGCCGTCAATTTTAGAAACTCCCACCATGCTGTCAGAGAAGAGCTGATGTCGATGCTTTTAAAGCATTCATGTCGTTGGATGTTTGAGCTGATAAATGGTAGGACTGAGATCTCTAGATTATTGCAAAGTGCTTGTTCTACACGACGTGCTTCCTTTTCAGATGCTCATGCATCGCCGTCATACTGTCATGGAAGGCAAGTTCCATTTCGCAGATTTTTCATTGGACCTTCTTTTCTTTTGTTTTGTCAAAATGCTCCCAGACTTTTGAGTTCCGTTGCCGAGTAGCCATGATAACGGAGACAGCTTCTGTACACCGTTATAAGCGTGCCACAAAACCAACCAATCACAGACTTGGATGCAAAAATTCTGATTGGCTGTTTTGGTCTCCAATCAGCTTGCTGTAGCTAAGCCCAGGCAAATATCCCAGAATGCATTTAATCCACAACTCAAATTGAGGCAGTTGTGGAGGAATGCAGAGTTTGAAATATACATATTTCTTTCTGGGTCACAAAAAAAAAGATATTTTCAGGATAGATTGTTGCTGTCAGGACATCACATATTTGCAAAAGTGCTCTAACATTTTCAAAGATGCCTGTTACCCACCAGCTGACCTCACAGCTGGACTGGCCATCGGGCATACTGGGCATTTGACACAAAGCTGGAGTTATTCTGTCTTTGCTTCACAGCTGCCTCTTCTCTCCTCCTCTCCCCCTTCCCTCTCCTGTTGCCACTTCAATCATGAAACTGATCAATGATCAGCTGATCGGCTTTTCTTTCGCAAGTCCTGTCAGTCTTGTTTGTTTATCACCCACTTTGCGCCAAAAAGAGGAAACAAGCAGATGTCACGATGAACAACAGCAGCGTTTAAGCTTGATCAGCTGTTGTTAGAATTTATTTAATATTAATTTCTAGTATCAGCTGATGTTTGTTGGAGCCACAGCTGTAAAAGCTGCTGGTCATGATATCGGGTTGGATATGTGGTGAGAGGGAAACATGAAGATGAAACCAGGAGATGTCCTTAAGTGGTCATCTGGTGTAAACTGTATAGAAATCATACATATATACAAAGGAGACAGTGTACATCACTGTCACAACAGTGTTTGTGAAGCAGTATGTTTAAGATACATTGACAGTCTCATGACGACATGATTCAGATATAAGACTAGGGATGGGTATCGAAAACCGGTTCTTGTTGAGAACCGGTTCCCACTGTTTCAATTCCTTGGAATCGTTTGCCATTTTTGCAAACGATTCCCTTATCGATTCCAGTCGCCCCGAATGACGTCACCACGTTGCGGAGCGTCATTTACCTGGCAGGAAACACGGCGCCTAAGCGGCTCAAACGCTCAAAAGTTTGATTATACTTTATGAGAACCGATGACAACAGGGGAACTTGCAAAGTAGATATTTCATTTAAGGGAGGAAACACTACGAATATGCAAAAGCATTTGCTCACAAAACACGCGATGACACGTGTTTTTAATTCCGCTCCGGACTCGTGACTCTCAACCCAGCAGCAGCGCTAACGTTTGCACGTCCTCTCCCGTTAATGCGGCAGGTAAATAATCAACCAACAGTGCATATTATGTTACCGCAATCTGCCTTATTACAAGATCTGCCATTACTGTACATGTAGGTGACCATGATGAGAGAGACAGACTGGCTGGCGCTCGCTGGCAGTTCTCGCTGCAGTCTACTGGTAGCGTCTCCTTTCAGGCCAGGATAGACGAATGTCACCGAGCAGTGTCTAAGTTTGTGGTCAAAGGCTTGCACCCATTTGCCACAGCAGATGCCCCGATTTTTGGTAAGTGAATGTGTTTAATTGTAGGCAAGGACATTACTGGATATTCTTGTGTAATTGCTACAGAACAATTTATGTTATACTTTGTTATTGCTACAGAAGAATATTTATTTTATTATTTTACATTTACAATTTTTTTTCCTGGGGACCCTGTGACACCCCATTGAAGAGCCGTAGGCTGGATCTCTTAAGATCTCACTGTTGGGTTTGTAAGGCCATGTTACTCCTAAATTTCTACCTTGTTCAAAGAGAAGATATAAAACAAAGTTCTAAGCTAATCAACCTTAGTGTTCTCCTTTTTAAAAAAAAAAAAAAAAAGAATCGATAAGAGAATATATAAGAGAATCGATAAGAGAATCGATAAAGAATCGAATCGTTAAACAGAATCGAAAATGGAATCGGAATCGTTAAAATCTTATCAATACCCATCCCTATATAAGACGCAAATCAAGTCAATCAGACGAATGTAACATTTATGTTAAATACTTTTGAATTTCACCCAAAACACCCTTTTTTAAAATTAAATATGTCATTTTGCATCTCACTCTCCTACCTGTGTGATCTGAGTCTGTGTGCGTTCGTGTGTGTGCGCGCTGCGTGGTGACGTAGGCGCGTGCATGTGTGCCCCGGTCACAGCTCCTTTCAGCATGGCCGGAGGTAAGTCACTGCCACGTTGCTCAGTTTGTTCAGACCCCAAGCTGCAATGTGAATACAGCCGAACCGCCGCATTTTTGTTTGTCGTTAAGAGACTCGTTCGGGATAAGTTTTGTGGAGGACAGAGTTTGCTAATATACGTTTTTAATGAGTTTTAGCCGAGAACGCAGCTGAAATGCTAGCATGCTAAGTTAGCCTGAACGCTAGAGGCTTGTGAGCGTGTTCGCTGCAGCGTGCACTCTTTTTTCCTTCATCAGGTGAAGTGTACTGGCAGTCGCGTGACGCACACAGAACAGACACTTATTTCTGTGTTGCAGGTATGGAGATGTTCTTATGTTTTGGAGATGCACTCTTTCATTTATTGTTTTTATAAGTACAGTGTTGTATTGCCTGTTGGATGGCGGTTATTAATATAATTGTACTGAAGTATAATGTTTGAAGTATAAGCACTAGAATATTGGGTCCTGGTTATTGAATTGTATTTACTGTTTATTTGTTTTTGAATTATTTTGTTTATTGTTCTTATAAGTTGTTTTTAATGATTTTTCAGTGACATGTTATTTATTTTATGCTTTTTGTTTTTGAGAGCTTAAGTTAATGTTTTAAAACAATTTGTTGTATTAGATTTATTATATTATTGTGGTGTTAATGAAGCTGCAGGCACAGCTCCTTTCAGCATGGCCGGAGGAGAGGTGTACTGGCAGTCGCGTGACACACACAGATCAGACACTTATTTCTGTGTTGCAGATGTGCAGTAAAGAGCCAAAGACCCAAGTGCTGTCTCCTGCCTCTTACTTTCACGCCAGAACACAACGCAATGACGGGTGTAACACATGAACGGGTTACACGAACAGGAAGCTCAAACTGTTTAAAAACACGAATTCAAACTCCAGCATAAGAAAGCAAACAGCAAAACTTTATTTATACAGGCAGAAACACAAAATGCTGCTCAGAGCAGAAGCTAGCACAGACGAGAACCTCAGTAATCAGATTGTAAACACTGATCATGTGATTCAACATGTTATTCCAGCATTAAAGGTAAAAACAGCTTCAGTTATATTGTTGGAAACAGACGCCGGTCACAGATAACTTGAGGTGTTGCTCTTCAACCTGTAGATGTGGTTCAGCATCTACAGGTTGGAGCTTCACATATTTCCTGGTTTGTGCACTAATAATGAGCAGCCCAGAGACTTACCGAGGTCCCAGACTCTGCTTCAGTCCATCCAGCTCAGCTTCTAGTCAGAATCCAGGTTTTAATAAGAACTAAAGTCCAGTTTCCAACACACACATGAAGATCACAATAATGACACTGTCAGTGGTCTTTGAGATTTATTAGAAATCTGTCTTATCTTAAGTTCAGCTCTGTGAAAAGGCATGGATCCTCCTCACAGAGAGTAGCGATCAGGAGAGAGGAGGCTATACTTCCTTTTCGTCGCACTGTGTCAATAACCTCTTGTGCTTTATCTGCTTTGCTCTGCTGTGATCTGACTGATTCCATCTCCTGATCATTGATAATATGCTTCTCCAGGAGTTTATCCAGAAGTTTGTTTAAAACAGGTTCAGACACTCTACCAATAAACTGTAAGCGAACTGTGAACAGCCTCTCGTCTGCTGGGACTCCGGACTCATCTGGGACATTTCTCATTAAGGTTTCTGTTCTTGGTGCTGAAGGAACAAAGAAAGATAGACATTTAACAGCACTCTGAACTGAGGATGAAAAGAGAAGTATGATTTCAGTTGAAGTTTTATAAAATATAAAATAAAAAGTTTGTAGGGTAATTTCTGCTGGTATTTGGCAGGAATCTTACCTGGCAGGCAAACAGATGATTTCCAGATTTCATTCCCCTCTTGGTCTTTGACTATCAGACTCACAAACCCTGAATTTGTATTCAGGAAAACTTGAAATGTTGGATGGTAATTTGGGCCAGACTTTGAGCGAAACTGTGTTTGCTAAACAACAACAGAAAGGTGCCATTTTCATGACGAGTGGGTTATCCAGGACTTTCATTTCATTTCAGCAGCATATAGTTTCTAACTGCTGACTCACCTTCGGCTGTATTATCCTGCTCTCAGGCTCACAGTGGACACTGTACCTTTGAACGAAGCTGAAAAGACAGTCAGCAGGGGTCTGGAGGTATTCAGCATCATCGTGTTGTTGGGCAGACACCTGCAGTGACAGGACAGTTTATTATGCTGGTAACGTTAATAAGTCTATTCACCTGTAGAGCTCATTTAAACATATCAGGTGTAGAATATCATGTGTCAGTATGAATCAAAAACAATCATTCTTGAGATAGAATAGCTTTGCAGAGAAAAAAAAGCTCCATGATTTTATTTTTATCAGTGAAGTGTCAGATCTGACATTATGGGTCACAAACATCAAATGTTCACAGCTTAGGGTCATTACTGGGAGTGAATAAAGAAGAGCAGTGATTGGTCAACAATGTGGGTAAGAAAAGTTAAATGGTGCCTGACTCTTTGTCTCAGGTAATCAGAGTGGAGTGACCAGTAAACCTGTACATAACTTTAGTTTATTATCAGAAAGCTGCTGAGAATCATTTGGATTCTGAGAGGACCACAGAGTGAAGATGATGAAACTATTTACCTCTGACAATGGGATATTTTCCTGGAGTAGAAACACATTGATTCTTGCAGGCTCTGAAGGTCGGAAGAACAGCAGAACTTGGCCATTTACTGTTATGTTCAGGAGCCGCTTAAAATCATCCCAGATGACGCCCCACCCAGAGAGGTGAGGAACCTTCACAACCACATGGGTGGCAGTGATCTCCAGCGGCTCCAAGATGCTCATCCCATCATCAGAGATGTGGGCAACAGACAGCAGGCCATCAACACACAGCGCTGTGAAAGGAAAGAGCTTTTCATTCTGAGAGTTCAGATTTACTTCTCACCTTATCTGAGGATTACATCTCCTGCAAACAAGTTCCCCTCCATCCTTTTTTGTTATAAATGTGAACAGCCCAAAACTTTTGCATTATTCATTACATAAAGCTCAGAACTAGGCATCAGTTATGTTACACGTTTGTGCAGTTATATATGTTCTTGGTTTGTAATTCATTTGAAAGCCTGATGCTTAACATTGTCCACCCCAGCTGTGAAACTCAGAAACCAGTCTTACTTGTTATCATCTATCGTCCACCTGGGCCTTACACAGAGTTTCTGTCTGATTTCTCAGACTTTATATCTAATTTAGTTCTGAGCTCAGATAAAATAATTATTGTGGGTGATTTTAACATCCATATAGATGCTAAAAATGACAGCCTCAACATGGCATTTAATCTGTTATTAGACTCAATTGGTTTCTCTCAAAATGTAAAAGAACCCACCCACCACTTTAATCACACTCTAGATCTTGTTTTAACATATGGCATAGAAACTGAACATTTAACAGTGTTTCCTGAAAACCCTCTCCTGTCTGATCATTTCCTGATAACATTTACAATAATTGATTACACAGCGGTGAAGAGTAGACTTTATCACAGTAGATGTCTTTCTGAAAGCACTGTAACTAAGTTTAAGAATATAATCCACCCACTGTTATCATCTCCAATGCCCTGTACCAACACAGAGCAGAGCAGCTATCTGAACGCTACCACAACAGAGGTCGATTATCTTGTTAATAATTTCACCTCCTCACTATGTACGACTCTGGATACTGTGGCTCCTGTGAAAACGAAGGTCTCTAATCAGAAGTACCTGACTCCGTGGTATAATTCTCAAACACGTACCCTAAAGCAGATGACTCGTAATCTGGGGAGGAAATGGCGTGTCACAAATTTAGAGGATCATCATTTAGCCTGGAGAAATAGTTTGCTGCTTTATAAGAAAGCCCTCCGCAAAGCCAGAACATCTTACTATTCATCACTGATTGAAGAAAATAAGAACAACCCTAGGTTTCTCTTCAGCACTGTAGCCAGGCTGACAAAAAGTCAGAGCTCTTTTGAGCCAACCATCCCTTTAACGTTAACTAATAATGACTTCATGAACTTCTTCACAAATAAAATTTTTATCATTAGAGAAAAAATTACCAATAATCATCCCACAGATGTAATATTATCTACAGCTACTCTTAGTACCATTGATGTTAAGTTAGATTCTTTTTCTCCAATTCATCTTTCTGAGTTAACTTCAATAATTACTTCCTCCAAACCATCAACGTGTCTTTTAGACCCCATTCCTACAAAACTGCTCAAAGAAGTCCTGCCATTAATTAATTCTTCGATCTTAAATATGACCAACCTATCTCTAATGATCGGCTATGTACCACAGGCCTTCAAGCTGGCTGTAGTTAAACCTTTACTCAAAAAGCCATCTCTAGACCCAGCAGTCTTAGCTAATTATAGGCCAATCTCCAACCTTCCTTTCATATCAAAAATCATTTTTAAGAGTAGTTGTCAAACAGCTAACAGATCATCTGCAGAGGAATGGTTTATTTGAAGAGTTTCAGTCAGGTTTCAGAGCTCATCACAGCACAGAAACAGCTTTAGTGAAGGTTACAAATGATCTTCTTATGGCCTCTGACAGTGGACTCATCTCTGTGCTTGTCCTGCTAGACCTCAGTGCAGCGTTCGATACTGTCGACCATAATATCCTATTGGAGCGATTAGAACATGCTGTAGGTATTACAGGTACTGCGCTGCAGTGGTTTGTATCATATCTATCTAATAGACTCCAGTTTGTGCATGTAAATGGAGAGTCCTCTTCACACACTGAGGTTAATTATGGAGTACCACAGGGTTCAGTGCTAGGACCAATTCTGTTTACATTATACATGCTTCCCTTAGGCAGCATCATTAGAAGACATAGCATACATTTTCACTGCTATGCTGATGACACCCAGCTCTATCTGTCCATGAAGCCAGATAACACACACCAATTAGTTAAACTGCAGGAATGTCTTAAAGACATAAAGACCTGGATGGCCGCTAACTTTCTGCTTCTTAATTCAGATAAAACTGAGGTTATTGTACTCGGCCCTGAAAAGCCTAGAAATATGGTATCTAACCAGATTCTTACTCTGGATGGCATTACCTTGGCCTCCAGTAACGCTGTGAGGAACCTTGGAGTCATTTTTGACCAGGACATGTCCTTCAATGCACATATTAAACAAATATGTAAGACTGCGTTCTTCCATTTGCGCAACATCTCTAAAATTAGAAATATCCTATCTCAGAGTGACGCTGAAAAACTAGTTCATTCATTTATTACTTCCAGGCTGGACTACTGTAATTCATTATTATCAGGATGTCCAAAAAACTCGCAGAAAAGCCTTCAACTAATCCAAAATGCTGCAGCAAGAGTCCTGACAGGGACTAGAAAGAGAGAGCATATTTCCCCTGTTTTGGCTTCCCTTCATTGGCTTCCTGTTAAATCCAGAATTGAATTCAAAATCCTGCTCCTCACGTACAAGGTCTTAAATAATCAGGCCCCATCTTATCTTAATGACCTTGTAGTATCATATCACCCTATTAGAGCACTTCGCTCTCGCTCTGCAGGCCTACTTGTTGTTCCTAGAGTATTTAAAAGTAGAATGGGAGGGAGAGCCTTCAGTTTTCAGGCCCCTCTTCTGTGGAACCAGCTTCCAGTTTGGATTCGGGAGACAGACACTATCTCTACTTTCAAGATTAGGCTTAAAACTTTCCTTTTTGCTAAAGCATATAGTTAGGGCTGGACCAGGTGACCCTGGATCCTCCCTTAGTTATGCTGCAATAGATGTAGGCTGCCGGGGGATTCCCATGATGCATTGAGTTTTTCCTTTCCAGTCACCTTTCTCACTCACTATGTATTAATAGACCTCTCTGCATTGAATGATATCTGTTATTAATCTCTGTCTCTCTTCCACAGCATGTCTTTATCCTGTCTTCCTTCTCTCACCCCAACCGGTCGCAGCAGATGGCCCCGCCCCTCCCTGAGCCTGGTTCTACCGGAGGTTTCTTCCTGTTAAAAGGGAGTTTTTCCTTCCCACTGTCGCCAAAGTGCTTGCTCATAGGGGGTCATATGATTGTTGGGTTTTTCTCTGTATCTCTGAAGCGCCTTGAGGCGACTTATGTTGTGATTTGGCGCTATATAAATAAAATTGAATTGAATTGAATTATAAATAAACTGCATTGTGGTTATTTGTATGATAAAGAACAGTTCATATTAGCTGAGCACCACACAGTAACACAGATGTTTCACAGCACAGTGCTCACCCTCCTTTGTTTCACAGTGTGGCAGGTGGAGCTCCCAGACTGCATCCACAGAGCATGTGATGTTAAACAGCGGCCCTGCAGCTGTTTTTCCAGCTGATTGAAGGAGGCTCTCATCCCATTGGACAGTCCTGTACAACAGCTCTGCCTCCTGAGCCATAACAAACACTAGTCTGGTCAGAGTACACTGGAACACACCTGGACCAGCACACCTGAACCTGTAGGACACAGAAGGGCTGAAGCACTCCAACCAGCCTGTATGAGCTGAGGTCTGATCACCTCCAGCTGTATCACGCATCTTGTCACATCATTAAATACATGTTATCAACCTAATGTGAATTTAGAAGCACCTGTAGGAGATGTGTGTGGATTCAGTTTGTACTTGAGGGGTGAAGCTTGATGGAGGCTGGAATTCAGAGAGGAAATACATCAGCTTTTTAAAGCCGCAATAAACAAGTAAACGGAGAACAAACTATACAGAGTACACCCATCCATCCATCATCCATCCATTTTCTTCCGCTTTATCCGGGGCCGCAGGGGCAGCAGCCTAAGCAAAGAGGCCCAGACCTCCCTCTCCCCAGCCACCTCCTCCAGCTTATCCGGGGGAACACCAAGGCGTTCCCAGGCCAGCCAAGAGATATAATCTCTCTAGCGTGTCCTGGGTCTGCCCCGGGGCCTCCTCCCGGTGGGACATGCCCAAACACCTCACCCATGATGCGCCCAGGGGGCATCCTTGTCAGATGCCCAAACCACCTCAGCTGGCTCCTTTCGATGTGGAGGAGCAGCGGCTCTACTCTGAGCCCCTCCCAGATGGCTAAACCTCTCACCCTATCTCTAAGGGAGAGGCCAGCCACCCTTCGGAGGAAGCTCATTTCTGCCGCTTGTATTCGCAACCTCGTTCTTTCAGTCATTACCCACAGCTCGTGGCCATAGGTGAGGGTAGAAACATAGATGGACCACACAGCTAGTGGCGTGTGCCCCTAGGCACACAGAGTACACATCAGGTGTTATCTGTACACACTTTCAAAACTGCGAGTAACATACTGACAATGACACAGAATCTTAAACCTGACTGGTTGTCTGCCCTGTGCTTTAACACGCCTGACAAATTTCTGTGCTGAAGGCCTCTTTTTTGTATCACAAGACAATCAGATCCACATGCTTTTCTCTCACCTTAATGTGCTTTATGTCATCTTTAGACAAATATAGCTCTGTGTCTAATGAGTCTGGATTCAGTCTGACCTCAGAGTAACCTGATGAGAGACAAACATCGAATAATTAAGGATTTCCTGGAACTCTAACTGGTGCTGTTTACAATCATATTAGTTTTTTAGTGGTTTTCTGATCAAATACAAACTGTTTGTGAGGGATTTCTCTTTTTTCCTTAAGGACCCACCATCTTCTTCAGCTGCAGCATTCTCACTCACTAAAAAGATTTTAAAAAGTATTAAAATATTTTGACCAAAACCAGTACCTAAAAACACATCCTTAAAAAACCCCATAATTTATAGATTTTTGCAGAATGAAATAAGCACAAACGAGCTTTCATGTGATATGCTGTTGATGAAATAGTGATGAATGTGACACAGAGTCTCAGTACTCACTGGTTTTGTCTATGGACGATTTAAAAGTCTTGACATCAACCCTGCAGAGAGCAACGTTAAAACACAACTGATTAATGGTGTACTAAGCCTAGCCAGAGAAGAAGAAAACAGACTTTACCATGAAGATCCTCAGTGTGGATCAGTATAATATCAGCCTGATGTCTGCAGTTTAGTGTCAGCACAACTTTCACATCATATTCATCTCAGCACAACTAAAACATGCTGACTGACCTCAGAGTTTCAAGTCCACATCCTGGACTCTCCAGGAAACCACACAGATGCTTCACTCCTGAATCCTGCAGCTTGTTGTTGTAGCTCAGGTCCAGCTGTCTCAGATGGGAGGGGTTGGACTTCAGTGCTGCTGCCAGATAATCACAGCTGATCTCTGACAAGCCACAGCTCCTCAATCTGTATAAAGAATGAAAGATGTAAGTTTATTAGACAAAGTGTGAGCTTGAAACCATTCAGTGTTTCATCATCTGTTCAGAGCTGAAGAAGGTTCAGAATGTAGAAGTTTAGAAAATGGAAACTCCAAACAGCTGAAGCCAACAGGAAGCAGCTTCAAACAAACACAACAAGAGAAAAAACTCTGAATGTTTCATATTAAAGTCGTACATTTCTCATAAAAACAGGACAAAGACTTGAAAAAGTCGTGTTTTTCCTTCCAGGAACCACATGGCTTCACTTTTAAAGGTGAAGTGTGAAAGAAATGGACATATTTGAAGTCCAACACCTTTTTCCAGTCACATTATTAAAGCAGACAAACTACAAGCTCATTTTCATTCCAACAAGTCATCTTCTGACCTGGACTAACAACACTGGTCTCTATGTGCAGCTGGCTGTGAGACCAGTGCTCAGGGAGCGTCTACAAAGTGCAACACTGAAAGAACATCACACTCTCATTTGCTTCCAGCACTTTCACACAAACATCTACTGTTATTATTGTCACCAAACTCTGTGGATCCTTTATTGCAAATTCAAATGGGATCAAATGGTCAGACAAAAGAGGGTTATGAGGAAATGTGATGAAATGTTGTGTATTAGCAGCAAGTTATTGAATCATTTTCCTCAGAAACCAAACAAAATGATTGACAAACATGTTTTTACAAACTCAGTGTTGGACTTGGATCAGCAGGATAAGCTGATGTTTAACCCTTTAAGGCCTACCATAGAACCAAGTCTGCCAGAGCTTTTTTATATTTTTACATGCTGTGGAGCCATTTTCTGGAGCATTTCAAGTTGCTATACCTCAATACAACCATTATAGCCCAGATTTTAATAATATGTATTCATTAAGTGCATAGTAATTACATAAATTGCAAAAACGTGCACTAAACTACAAAAAAATTGAAAATTGTTTTTGCTTTTTTAACATATATTTGTAGTTAGAGAAATTTAAGAGGCTTATCCCTCAAAACTGTAAATACAAAAAAGTTGCACAAAATAGTTTCCCACCACAGGAAATTTATTTTGAGTGTCTTCATAGTTTTATTTTTGAAATACACCAATTTTTATACACTGCAGGAAAAACGAAAATAAATATTAGAATGCAAATTTGCAAAAAAGCAGAATATGCATCAAAATAAACTATTTCCAGCAGTGCAATATGAGTCCTAAGCATCCCAGAAACGACACAGAAAGTCATAAAGTCAAAGATAACTTTTAAAAAGACCAGTATAGGCCCTGATGACCTGATAGTAAAAAAGACTACATTTCCGCGAAAATGACGTCACTTCCGGTTTTGGGCAGGTAATGGCGGAAATGCAAATGTTCGCGCTGACGTCTGTTCCAACGTAGGAAGTGTTATGAACAGCTGATCGAATCGGTAAAGCGTGTTTCTGGAATATTATGTTTTTGTTCCTGCAAGCGCTTTTTATGCAGTTTTTGCAAAGCTTTATGTGGAAGGAAACCGTGACCGAGGACAAGCTGATGGCATGAGATGTAAGTACAACTCCTCCAGTTTCATATGCAAAAAAATTTTTTGCGCTAGCTTACGTAGTTGCAGTGCTACTGGGATTTTAAAATAGTTACGCAAAACAGAGCGTTCCCGCTCCGATCGGCTGTAAAGGGTTAAAGGCATTTGAGTCTCGCTGTATGAGAGTCCAGTTATTACTCAATGTCTGTGAAGGTTCTCAGTCATCCAGGTCATCGTAGTCAAAGGAGCTTGCAAAGAAAAGCGTCTGGACTTCTTTAAGTTACTTGAAGACGTTTCACCTCTCATCCGAGAAGCTTCTTCAGTTCTAAGGTCAAATGGTGGAGAGTCCCAGATATAAACCTAGTGGGAGTGACCCCCACCAAGGGACAAAAGGACCCCCTGATGATCCTCTAATCACCTGAGCCAAGGTGTGAAACTGGGTGTGGGACCCAATCAGCAAGAGTTTCGGGTGGGTTCATTGTGAAACCTGGCCCCACCTTATCATGCGAATTCCTGAGGTCAGATGGCCCAGGATGTGAGTGGGCGTTAAGGCGTCTGGGAAGGGAAGGGATCTCAAAACTGGATTATAGATGGCAGAGAGTTGGGGTCGTAAACCCCCGCCTCTGTTCAAAGATGGTCGCTCACAGTGGACATAGATGGCTTCTTTCACTCCTCTTTCAAACCATCTGTCCTCTCTGTCCAAAATGTGAACATTGGCATCCTCGAAAGAGTGTCCTTTATCCTTAAGATGCAGATGGACTGCTGAGTCTTGTCCTGTGGAGGTGGCTCTTCTGTGTTGTGCCATGCGCTTGTGAAGTGGCTGTTTGGTCTCTCCAATGTAGAGGTCTGAGCATTCCACGCTGCACTGTACAGCATACACCACGTTGTTAAGTTTGTGTTTTGTCTTTCGGGTGAACCAGTTTCTGTCTGAGTGTGTTGCTGGGTCTGAAATACACTGGGATGTCATGCTTGGAGAAAACTCTCCTGAGTTTTTCTGATACACCGGCTACATAGAGGATGACAATGTTGTTGAGTCTGTCCTTCTTATCCTCCCTCGCTGGTGTCTGGTCTTCTTTTCTGTCCCTCTTTGCTGACTTTAAAAATGCCCATTTAGGATAGCCGCACGTTTTGAGTGCTTCCTTTACATGTGTGTGTTCCTGAAGGAAAAAAGAAGGAACACACACATGTAAAGGAAACACTCAAAACGTGCGGCTAAAAAAATGGATTTTCCTATTTAAATGGTTTTAATTCGAATAAAGCGATGTTGATTCATTCAATCCTGAATCGATTTTTAATATAAATGTATTTTGCCAGAATCTCAGGTTAAAGCTCCCAAAAGTATTTCAACAACAAGCAAACAGATAAAACAGTAAATGAGAGCAGCTAAACACACAAAGATGGAAACACAGAGCGTGGATCGTTCACTCGACGGCACGTACACGGACACGTCGTCGGGCTGAAAGTAGACAGCTCACAGATCCTGAAGCTGCAGGTTTCATCTGTCTCCAACCAAAACTGACTGAACCAGCAGCAGAAGAAGATCCAAACTACGCTTTACGTTTGATGAACATCGTCATGAATTCTCTCTGATTTTGACGTTTACTTCCTGCACAGCTCTCTCTCTCTCAGTGTACTTCAAGAACAGTTTACCTTCAAAAATCTGTTTCCTGCATTATTCACTGCTTATTACGCACCAGTCTGCTGTTGTGTTCACTGCTGTCGGCCTCCGAAAACAAAGCCTCATTTCTGCTGTTCAATACTGAAGAAATTTAAACCTTTTAAAATGATGACAGATTACAAACTCTCAGCTGTGTCTGTAATCAAACCTCTGTAACTTTGCTTCCCTTCAGCAGCATCAGCTCATGTTCACATGTTGATTCATGGTTTGCTTCAGTTTTTGATGGACTGCAGAATATTTTGAAGGTTATCTGCTATAAAAAGCCAGAACAGGAAAATCTGCTTCATGTGTTTCTGTTTGATCCTCAGTGACTTTGACACAAAGGCCTCTGCTGTGATGATCACACCTCTGATCAAGTCTCACAGTGTCAGCTTTGTTTTTATACATATGGATATGTGCTGATAAATGATCAGAGTTATAATATTTCCCACTGTCTGCTGTGTGCCGTGACCTTTGACCTGCTAAAGACAGTCAGCTGTGGATTATTCATTGTTGTGTCTGATACTTAGAACTGTGAGGAAGAACACTACACAGTTAATCAGGGTCCCCTCTCTCTGAATCAGGAAAGGTGGGCAGGCCGCGTGTGGGCCGCGGGCCATACGTTGAGTCTCACTGTTTGAAATGTGAACATTGTTCTGCTGCAGTCAATGGACTAAACCAGAGAAGAAGAAAACAGACTTTACCATGAAGATCCTCAGTGTGGATCAGTATAATATCAGCCTGATGTCTGCAGTTTAGTGTCAGCACAACTTTCACATCATATTCATCTCAGCACAACTAAAACATGCTGACTGACCTCAGAGTTTCAAGTCCACATCCTGGACTCTCCAGGAAACCACACAGATGCTTCACTCCTGAATCCTGCAGCTTGTTGTTGGAGCTCAGGTCCAGCTCTCTCAGATGGGAGGGGTTGGACTTCAGTGCTGCTGCCAGATAATCACAGCTGATCTCTGACAAACCACAGCTCTCCAATCTGTATAAAGAATGAAAGATGTAAGTTTATTAGACAAAGTGTGAGCTTGAAATCATTCAGTGTTTCATCATCTGTTCAGAGCTGAAGAAGGTTCAGAATGTAGAAGTTTAGAAAATGGAAACTCCAAACAGCTGAAGCCAACAGGAAGCAGCTTCAAACAAACACAACAAGATATAAAACTCTGAATGTTTCACATTAAAGTCGTACATTTCTCATAAAAACAGGACAAAGACTTGAAA